GGAGAGCTTCCGGGCCCGGCCCGATGACCTGCTCATCAGCACCTACCCCAAGTCCGGTAGGTGAGGAGGGCCACCCACCCTCTCCCATGTGGCAGGCCCACCTTGGCCAGTCAGGTCATGCCCTCAGCCTGTTCACCTCCCTCTCCCTCCCTCTCCAGGCACCACCTGGGTGAGCCAGGTACTGGACATGATCTACCAGAATGGCGACCTGGAGAAGTGTCACCGGGCTCCCATCTTCATGCGGGTGCCCTTCCTTGAGTTCAAAGCCCCAGGGTTTCCCTCAGGTGTGTGACTGGGACCTGGGGGGAAAGGGAGTGGAGGAAGACAGGGCTGAGGCTTCAGCTCACCAGACCTTCCCTGACCCACCGCTCAGGGCTGGAGACTCTGAAAGACACACCGGCCCCACGGCTCATCAAGACGCACCTGCCCCTGGCCCTGCTCCCCCAGACTCTGTTGGATCAGAAGGTCAAGGTGAGTCCGGGCACAGTGGCTTACACCTGTCAGCCCAGTACTTTGGGAATCCAAGGCAGGAGGCTCACTTGCAACAAGGAGCTGGAAGACAGCATGGGCAATATAGGGATGCAGTCTCTTTCAATTAAGAAAAAGGAAAGCTAGGTGTGGTAGCATGTGCCTGATGTGGGAAGATCGCTAGAGCCGAGAAGTTTGAGGCTACAGGGAGCCATGATCACACCACTGCACTCCTGCCTATGTGACAGAGGGAGACACCAACTCAAAGAAAGGAAAAAAACTAAAAGAAAAGAATAAAAAGGTCCAGATGCGGGGCAAGGCAATCCAGGGAAGGAGGCTCCACACAGCTCAGCTTTGGTTTTGTTCTTCTGGAAGGTTGCCCCACATCCTTCTGTCTTGTCTCATCTTCAGCGGGGATGCCATCTGCCTCTTGCTCTGGCAAGGGTCTGCTGGCCAGAAACATGAGACTCTTCAGTGTCTGCCTCAGACAGGCAGCGTATGGGTGCTCACAGGTGAGCAGAGGTGGGGGCTGGAGGGGACCAGGCATGCCTTGCTCCAGATTGGGATGTGAAGGCATTGTTGCAGTTTATATTAGTATAGAATATGGATCCAGGGACCAGGCTGGACTTTGACATCTGAGCAGGGTTCAGATCCCAGCTTGGACCTACCTCTTCCATGAGATCTCAAGCAAGTCAGAGTCTAAGCCTTAGGTTTCTCCTTTGCCAAACCAAGAGATGAGCCGGTTTGGGGTGGGCCATGTGATGGCGCTGGGCCGGGTCCTCTGCCCCTGCAGGTGGTCTATGTTGCCCGCAACGCAAAGGACGTGGCCGTCTCTTACTACCACTTCCACCAGATGGCCAAGGTGCACCCTGACCCTGGGACCTGGGACAGCTTCCTGGAGAAGTTCATGGCCGGAGA